GCCTCCCGTCGTCTCACCCGTTTAAAAGAAATTCCATGAGTCATAGCCTTACCCTCCACGCTATGAAAGCGTTTCAGGTAGGTGTCAGGCGACACCGCAACCGCATTTCTTCAATCCCCGCTATGCTACAAGAGTGCTTAAGGATAATCAGAGTACCTGTTTAAAAACGCAGAATTTTCTTTTGCCCGCCATACTACAAAAGCGTGTACAAGACCTACCCTTCTTGTCGTAAGCATCGCACTGGACTTCCTCCTACCGTGCTATGAGAGCGCGTATATGGGGTCCTTCGGCTCGTCGCAAACACTAAGAGCGGGATTTTGGAGGTTTTGAGTTAGAGGTCATTATACCTTAATGAGCGAGGTCGGCGGTGTCGATGGCGGCGATGATCGAGGTGATAACAACTACTAAAATGCACAAAAACCTATTTTTCTTTTTCTTTTCTTTCTTTTTCTTTCTTTTTTTAACTCTTTTTTAAAATTAAACTAACACTAATATTAAAGATAATAAAAATAAGAATATTCATATTATTAGTATTAATATTAATTAATATCTCTGTTTAAAATTGTGCAATAAGAGGCGCGCCTCTGTGCAATTTTGGCCAAAAGCGCCTCGAGGCGCACGCAATTTGAGATCTGTTTGAGGCGTCTCACCCTGTGTGAGGCGCGCCTCAATTGCGCAATTATGGTGAGGCGTACGCCTCATCCAATTGGGCCCGCCAACTTAAAATGAGCAATTTTTTTCCCTTATACCCGAATGGTCCAGGCATTTAGCATTTTTCTCCGCTCGCAAGACCCAGGTCATGAAACAGAGACCCTCCCGCACGGCCGGCCTCCCTTCCCGTCGCCTCTCCCGCCGGTGCCGCCTCTCTCCAGCGATCTTAAAGTGTCCGGCCGCCTTGTAGGAGAAGTCCACAAACAATTTTAGGTTTTTTTTTTTTTTAAGTTTTTGGTTAGATTTTTCAAGTGAAATAAATTTTAGGGTTTTTGATTTTTTGAATTGTTTTGTGTGATTTTGGATTCTTTCATTAGGGATCATGGTTAGAGGCAAGGAAAAGGGGTCTGCATCATTGCGGAGGGACCCTTCTTGAAAATATAGTGTACAAGTTGACATAGGCGGCAGAGAGAAGAGCTATGTTTATTTGAAATGCAATTTTTACGAAAAAGTGGTGAAGGGAGGTGTTACCCGCATGAAGGAACACTTATCATACTCGCATAAAAACGTAGCACCGTGTGCAAATGTGCCGGAAAAGGTGGAGGAAATTATTGCTTATATGAAGAAAAGTACCACGACAAAACACTTGCAACAGGAGCAATTTGATGATAGGGTTGAACATGGCGCTTATTTTGGGAGCGAGGGTGGAAAGGGCTCTTCCTCCACTATATATAATAGAGATGCACGGGGTCCTATGGATCAGTATATGACTAATCCATAAGAGGATATAGGACAAGCACAAATGATGCCTGCGGACGGTACTAGAGAGGGTTGACGCCAGGTTTGCATGGATATTGGGAGGTATTTTTTTGAAAATGCCATACCTTTTAATGTTGCTACGTCACCTGCCTACTTCAATATGCTGCGGTCTGTAGGGTTGTATGGGAGAGGGTTGAAGGCACCTTCTATGTATGAGTTGCGAACATGGATTTTAAAGGAGGAGCTGCTGAACACAGAGCATAGCATTGATGAGATTAAAAGGACATGGACTGAGACTGGTGTAACCATTATGTCAGATGGATGGTCTAACATGATGAGCAGGAGCATGATTAACATTCTTGTGAACAATCCCTACGGCACGGTGTTTTTACGATCGATTGAAGCTTCAGATGAGGTGAAAAATGCTACATTCATTTTCAATTTACTTGATGGGGTTATTGAGAAGATTGGGGAGTAATTGGTTGTCCAGATAGTGACTAATAATGCTAGTGCATATAAAGCAGCTGGTCAGATGTTAATGGAGAAGAGGACACACCTATATTGGACACCCTGCGCAACACATTGTATCGATCTTATTTTGAAGGATCTTGGTGACTTACCTCAGCACAAGAGTGCTCTTTCTAGGGCGAATAAAATTACAAAGTTCATCTACAATCACTCTTGGGTCTTAAGCTTGATGAGAAAGTTTTCAAAAAAAGAAATCATTTGCCCTGCAACCACTAGGTATGTTCTTAATTTTGTACATTGCAAATTATTCATACTGTATGTTCTTAGTTCTTACATTTGTGCACTGTGAATCTATAGGTTTGTCACATCCTATTTGACACTGCAGAGCTTGATGGAGGTGAGGAAACCTTTGGAAGCAATGTTTACATCAACTGAATGGCTTAACTCTGCTTGGGGGAAGAAAGGTGAGGGGAAGGAAATAAGAAAGATAATTCTGAATGATAAATTTTGGGCTACTGTGACCTATGCCATTTTGAGCACTAGACCCTTAGGCAAGTACTATGCTTAGTGGATGCAGAGAAGAAATCAGCTATGGGTTTTATTTATAATGTTATGGATGAGGCCAAGGAGTTGATTGCACATAACTTGGGAGGAGAGGAAGCAAGTTATAGGGAGATTTGAGATATCATTGATGCTCGATGGGAGGTGCAGTTACACCGTCATCTACATGCAACGACATATTATCTTAATCTTCAATTTCAATATTCAGAGAAGAAATCTTCAAATCCGGAGGTGAAGCTTGGTCTATATCATTGTATGGAAAGACTAATACCGGAGCAGGCAGATAAAGAGCTTGCAGATTTACAACTTGTTCTATTTCGGAATAAAGAAGGTTTTTTTGGTTTGAATGTAGCAAAAGTAACCATTTCCAAATGGTCTCCAGGTATAGTTATTTTGGTAAATGCAATACACTTTATTCAGTTCTAATTATATTTTTTCTTGAAAACAGTTAAATGGTGGATCCAATTTGGTGATTCCACCTCTGAGTTATAGAGTTTTGCTGTAAGAGTGTTGGGCCTCATTTGTTCTTCTTCTGGGTGTGAGCGAAACTGGAGTACATATAATCAAGTGCAAACAAAGAGAAGAAATTGTCTATCAATACTCAGAATGAACTCCCTCGTATATATAATGCACAACAAGAGGTTAAGAGATAGGAGGTTGAAGAATAAGAGGTTGAAGGATAATGAGCACCCATTGGTGTGTGATGATATGCATATGATAATGAGTGATTCATAGATGATAAGACATATTTGTCATTATCAGACTTACAACTAGAAGATCTAAATATAGATGTCTTGAGGGGCGAAGCAGATCAAGTGGGCACATCTACTAGTACCACACCTCACACATCCACTAGCTCTGCACCACAACAATCAAGTAAAGGTATTCCACAACTTCTTATATGCAATCGCAGTATATTTATAATTTTATATCAAGTGAGCAATTAACATGCTAATGATTTTTTTTCTTATTGAACAGGGAAGAGAAAAGTGAGTCATATTGAAGATGATGATGATATGACATTCATAGATACAATTGGAGAAGAAGATTCCATTGAAGACCCATTTAGTGATGGGATATGATTGCATTTTATATGTTTTTTGTACTTTGGGGGTTTTGTTAAACTAATATTTTGTGATTTTGTACTTTTTGGGACATGATTTTATTGCATATACTTTCTTACTTTCCACTATTTTCATATATAATTTAGATGTTTTTATTGTAAGATACAATATTGCTATTATTTTCCTGCTAGAACCCTTAATTTTTCATTTACGCAATTCTGTGTCCGTGAGGCTTACGCCTCGCCTCACAGAAAAAAACCGCCTCGAGTCTTAATTACGCAATTTTAAACCTTGATTAATATTAATAATATTAATGGAAGATAAGTGTGCTCGGTTTACTGTGAGAGAGGAGATGAAGTTCGGGCTGGTTTTGGGTCAAGGTGGATCGGGCAGAGAGCTTATGATGTGGGATAGGACTGGATTCGGGATTGAAGGGCGATGAGAGGATCAGATCGGCAGTGGGTTGTGCGGCTTTGATGAGTTCTGATTGAGAGTGGCTCGTTTGTGTAAAGCTGCGTGCGGATGGAGACTTCGGTTGGCTGTAGGGATCGAAACAAGTAGGAAGCCGATTGGAGTCTTGCGGTTTCAGCACATTAGAGGTGTTAGGTGTAGGGGAGAAGTTGGGTTGGCCGTCGGACAGGGTAGGTCGGCTAGAGCGAAGGGTTGAGTTCGAAGGGTTGCTGGGTTGAAGACTTGGCTGTGAATTGAAGAAAGGAGAATCGGGTCAAGATGTCAGAAACGGTAGTTTGAGGCGGGTGGGGGTTCGTGTGAGGTGAAGAAATGAGGTGGATTCGGTTCAGGAGGCTGGTAGTCGCGATTGGAAGGAGGAAGAGGTGGAGGGAGGCGGAAGCTGCTGTGGGAGGAAATCAGAGGCCTGAGGGCTTCACGCGTGCGGGAGAGATGTCGAAGCAAAAAAGCTGCGTTCGCGAGTTGGAAAAGACGGAGGAAGTAGTCTCGTTTGACTGAGATTGAATAAGCGAAGCCTTCTTTTCACTTTCGTTTTAACGGCGGGAAAGAGCTGCAATCGAGACAGAGATTGCTCACGGTGGAGACGAGACAGGTCGGCGCCGTTTGCAGGGACGAGCCGCCGGCTACAGTAGATTTCAGTAGGATTTGTGCAGGTGACGTGGATTTTATTAGATTTTTTTTATTTGCTGTGTCGGTCAACAATTATAAATAAAATGCTTAGTATCATAATATCATCCAATGGTAATGCCTAACTTTTGCTATTGCCGTTAATTGCAAAGTTAAGAGAAAAACTACGGATTTTTTCCATGTCAAGAAGACTAAAAATTGAAAATCTATCAGTGGCATCTACTTAATTCCTAAACTCACCTTTTGGATGAAACCAAAAAATAAATAAACGACCTATTTATAAACATTTATTTAACACAAAAAGCATAAACAAATTTTCTCTTGCCTATTTCTTATTAAAACATTCATTCCTGTCAACTAGAATGGAAAATCATAGAAAAGCCAAAAAAAATATTTTCATACCTATGCTCACTCAATTCGAGTTCATCACTACCTATATCAACTCTTGAAGCGGTATCGCCAGCTTGCTGATTAGCTAGTTTTTCAGTTAAATACATTTCAGCCATATCCGTGTCATCATCCAAGAGGTGTTCAAGTTCATCCCTTACCTACCAATATATAAAGTTGAGGTATTAAGGATTGAATTACACGTCTAAAGCACATGCAGCATAAAAAAGTAATCAAGAAAGAACAGTTATGCTGCAACTAAGCATTCACATCAGAAATTAATTCGAAGGAATGAACAATGCAGGATCATTTTCACATGAACTTACTATACAGAATACGCTACTATGGGGCTTATATCAAACGATAAATGAAGGTGAAAACCTACATTTTGCAGTTAGACAATTCCTTGGCGCCTTACCTTCTGCACACGACCAGAAAGTGCAACAAGACGGCTTTTTATTTGTCTAACACGCTCAAGGTTAAGAGTGCTGATTTTTGAGGTCAGCTCGTCTAAAGCAGGGTATGCCTCTTGTTCCAATGTCAATGTCTGAAAGTAAAATACTTTTAAAATAAGTCAAACAAGATGAAATGGAAATCAAACAAGAAAACTAAGAAATGCCCGAGTTAACAAACTGTTTTTGGAAAATTAAAATATGCAGAACTTTTCTTTTCAATCGCAGTTCTAGGCAAGCCAATTCCAATTGAATTCCTACATGTGTTATTGTGTCAATTCATCCACAGCAAAAAAAATTATAACTTTATCTATGAATCACTTGCCATTCATGTCTTTAAATTAATCAATTAACTAGCACATATTGTAAAGCAAGTCAGCATTAAAATATTAAAATAAGGGCTGGTGATTGGCATGATGGTTTAACATACGAGACAACATAATTTCCTCAAACTCCACTGACCATAACCGGTGGAGGAATTGTTCTTAAGTTTGGAGTGGGAATAAGAGAGAGGGAATAATATTAATGAGATGAAGCAAGAAAATAATCGATTGGGTAAATCTTTATATCATGTATTTATCTTTGAGCTAGGGGATACTTTTCTCTCTATACAGTCATAAACATAAATGAATTGCAGCGAAAAAACAAGAACTTGTGTGATTTTTGCATTCTCGTAGTAGATAATTTTTTCTTATTTTGATGTTCACCATTACTCCTAAGAAAGCACCTTCCTAACAACTATCTTCAGCAATATCACCTCAAAAACTGCATTCCCTGCAACATAAAGGCAAAAGGAATGATAACCCCTAATTAACAACAAAATAATATCCTCTTATATATATATATATATATATAAGCACTATCACCTCAAATATTGCATTCTCTGCAACATATAGGCAAATGGTATGCTAAACACCTCATTATCAACAAAATAATATCCTGTTTACTGTCGTTTTCAACTGCTAAAATCTGCACAATAATATTATATTCTTCAACTATTTGATCATAGAAAGTTATTTGTTAGACCAGTCCATTGGACTGATCCAGCCGGCCCATACAGGACTGGCCTAAGCGTAACAGAGGCCTCCTCCATGAGCCGCACAAATAGCACTGTCCAAACGAGTAGATTAGGGAGGTTTTAGGAAGGAAATTTGAATATTGGGATTGTTTAGAGATTTTCTTTTGGATTGTATGTATTAAATAGTTTGTTTTCCTAGGGTTAGGGCATCTTGAATTTGGCGAGATCTCTCATTTTTTTTGGGCTCTAGCGGTGTCTAGAGATTGGGAGAGATTGATCCTCCTCTTGAATAGATGAATCAATTGTATCTTGCTATTTTTCTTCCGTTAGTTGGATTATTGCAACAAAATCTACTATTTTTTGATTTTTTTCCAATGGTTTTGTGGATTGTTCTCGCTGTTTTTGTCTCTATTGTTAGGGTTTACTTGAGATTTTCAAGTATTTTCTAACAAATTGGTATCATAGTGATTTTGGGATTGTTTGGGGGATTTTTCTAAGAAAAATAGCGGCTTACTATTAGCTGGAAGGGGGTTGTTATGCTGTTTTTTAGAATCGAAATTAAGATTTTTAGTCCAACAAAAACCCAGTATCGATGCAACCAAGAAAGTGAATGCGTTGGAGTAACGCCTCAAGAGGGAGATCGGTCAAATGAAATACAAAATTTCATATTTACAAACTCAAGTTTCAGATTTAAAGAAAGAAATTTCAGTCATCCATGATAAGATCGATTCAAGTTTTTCCATCCTGGCGGAGATGTTGAAGAAAGTGCTTGACGACCAAAACAAAAAAAATGTCGTCGGAGGTGAGGGAAGTCACGATCAGTGAGGGAACTGGAGAAAGCCCTAAGTTTATAGACGAAGGGAGAATCAGGAGGTGGAGATTTCAAAAGGAAAACAAAAAAGGCCTACCATAGGGCCTATTCCCAGGGAGGAGTCCGATAGAGAGTATGTGAAGAGGCGTGAGGCGGTTGGATAGGCGTGGAGGGATGTTGAATTTGAAAGGGGGGCTGAATTTGAAAGGCAAGGACTTAATTATGATCGAAGAGGTGTCGAATTTGAAAGGAGAGGGGTTGAATATGATAGAAGGGTGTTGAATTTGAAGGGAGAAGGTGGGCTTGTGATGAAAGGTTTGATTGCATGTGGAGAAAGGATGATTGGCACAATTGGGGGGAACCACTCCTTGGGGAATGAAAAATTTTGGAGTAAGCAAAGTTAACGGAAGAGATCTGAGAGTGAGAAAAATTAAGATGCCTATGTTTGAGGGAGAAGATGCACATGGGTGGATTTACAGGGTGGAAAGATAGTTTGCTTTCAAAAGATTGACGGATGAGGAAAGGATGACGGTAGTTGGCCTATGTTTAGAAGTGAAGGCTTTGTCTTGGTACCAGTGGAGGGACATGCGGCGACCCATACAGAGTTGGAGGGAGTTTAAGGATTGCCTGTTAGAACAATTCCAAACCGGTAGGGGAGGAGACTTCTACGAGTAGTTCTTCGCCTTGACAAAAGATGATTTGGTGATAGAGTACCGGGAGAGGTTCGAGTATCTTGCTATTCAATTAGACCGCCTTGCTGAGACCATGTTAGACGGTAGCTTCATGAAATGATTGAAACCAGAGATACGAGCAGCAGTTAGAGTGATGAGGCAACGTGACTTGGGAGGGCTATAGAGCTAGCTCAGTTGGTGGAGGATCAGAGAAACTTGGAGAGAGAAATGAGAGGCAGTAGCTCAGTAGGCTCGTATAGGATGACCACCATTTTTTTGGCATCCAAGAAGCCAACACTGGATAATCTTCGGGGGACTTCAAAGGAAAAGACTGCAGGAGGAAGACCTGGGGACAACTTCAAGAAGCTCGCAGAAACGAAAATACAGGAGAAGAGGGTGAAGGGGCTCTATTTCAGATATGACGAGAAGTATACTTTGGGGCACAGGAGTAAGGACCGAACTCTTCAGAATCTTACCGTTAATGATGACGAGAGAATGGAGGAAGGTGTCATCTTTCCACCTTAGGAACAAGGTGGATATTTGGGAGAGGAGTATTGTTAGACCAATCCATTGGACCGGTCCAGCCGATCTAGCTCAAGAGTAACAGAGGAGAAACTCTTCCGCCTTTTGTACAAGTAGCACAAACCGCCTCGTCCAAACGAGTAGATTAGGAAGGTTTTAGGAGAAGTTTAGGAGGGAAATTTGAATGTAGGGACTGTTTAGAGATTTTCTTTTGGATTGTATGCATTAAATAATTTGTTTTCCTAGGATTAGGGCATCTTAAATTTGGCTGAAATATGAGCTCTTAATTTTTTTGGGCTCTAGTCGCGTCTAGAGAATTGGGAGAGATAGATCCTCCTCTCGAATAGAGGATCAATTGTATCTTGCTATTTTTCTTCCATTAGTTGGATTATTGCAATAAAATCTACTGTTTTCTAGTTTTTTCCGTTGGTTTTGTGGATCGTTCTCGCTATTTTTGTTTCTATTGTTAGGATTTACTTGAGATATTCGAGTATTTCCTAACATTATTCTAAGGACCACTCACTACAATAAACAAGCCAGTATATTTTTGTTACTGACATGATAACGCCAGAACATGCAAACAAAACTAAAAGTCTGAAATTGTAATCTTTCTTCTTCAAGATAATTTTATTTACTGACTTTGGTCTCAAAATATGCTCAAAAATAAAAGTTGAATTGTGTTCCATCAAGAAAATGAGCGTTTGGCAAATGGAGACATGAAAGGGCCAACAATAAATTGCCTTGACACAATTTAGCGGGAAAAAAGGCGCTCAAAGGATTACAGAGAAAATGGAATGTCAGGAATACTTCATTAGTATTGCATGCATATGAAAAAGGATAGCAACAGAGTAATTTACAATCTAGTTGGAATCAATTTTTTAGTTTCTTGTCTTTTTTTTAATATGAAAATATATGTTTGGTTATAGCATGATAAGTATGTTTGATTTTTAGTTTTAAAAACAAATCATGTAATTTTCAAAAGCAGACAAGCTAACTGTTATATAGTTTTACTATTTTCAAAATATGAACTTCTAACCAACGGATCTCATGCACCATGTTAGCAATCTTCAGCCAACCCACGCCCACATCAAACCCTCTTCCAAAAAACAAAATAAATTAGTATGATTTCAACTAAAAAAAAAGGTATATTAAGATACAACAATATTTTTATTTCATATCAAAACAAAAACAAAACAAAACAAAAATAAAATAAAAAGAAAAAAAATCCCAAATGGCACCTTAGCAAATAGGCAGAGAACGACATATCCTCTCATAACATTCCCAGAGTGGGTAGACACATACCTCTGATTCAAGGAGTCTACAAGCCGATTCAAGACAGACTTCAAGTGCTCTGAACTCAAAAGGTAACACATTGGTACCCCCATTATTGTATGCATCCGAATTGGTTCTAGGTCTGCCTGTTATTGATTCATAACTTGGGACAGCCTTAGCAGCCTGATCAGCATCCGTATCACTAGATTCTGCAACCTTCGCATGGAAAAATATTCAAAGATCACACTACATAAGGATGTCTTAAAGCAGATTATGCTCTTCTAAAATATACAGGAACAACTATGACATTAATGATATGGAAGGGTGGCAAATGGCAGTTGAACAAGAATATTGGCCAGGACATAAAATAATGTTTTTTGTTGCTTTGGTGCCACCAATTATACCGCTCTAGTCAGCGAATTCAAAATTTTGTTCTCGTCATGGAAGGATTAGAATTCATAAAAATTAGATGAACTATTGCAACATAGCAGGAAACTCTCTTTATTAATTGTCCAATATTCAACACATTCCTCGAAACAAATATAGTTACAAAGCATAAAACCCAGTTGGACTGGCAAGTTGGAGACCGAACAGATATATGAGAATGAAAAACACGAGAATATAAGTTAATGGGGATTTAGTGGCTATGTTACCTCTCAGAAAACAATTTACACTTCATGTAAGCCAAATAATATTTCACTAAAATGTAAGAATTAAAATTCATACAGAATTCGAAGGAAGCTGAAGTTTTCTAGGATGAGCAAGTTCATAAAAACTCAAAAAATTGTTTTTTTAATAAAATATATCAACATTAAAATTTAGTTAAAATAATTTTATGGACTTAATCTAGTTGTCCATTTGGTAGGAAAATCATCAAATTAATGAAAAGATAACACATCCTTACTATGTGAGAACTTTTGAGAGTAACTATAGTAGTATGGTTGATACACATCGGCTTTCGTAAGTTGAGAATAAGCTTAAGTTTGTCACCCTTGAAAAATTATTATAGAGGGCGGATTGAGTGTTGCTTTGGCATTGAGTAGCAGATTTTACTTGAATATTTTCATTTGTTTTAATATTTTACTATTTTGTGAAGATTTGTACCCAATATAATTTGCTTCGGATTTGGTGGTAATTTAAAAATAACCACCCCTTAGGATTATATTCCTTTTCAATGTAGCCATCATTGGGATAATACATATATGGCATTTGGATGTACAATTGGAGAGCTTAATATGTGAAAGTAGACTCATCCAATCATGATGTGCACTAGCCACACCCATTGTAAGGGTTTTTGTATGATTGGACTTTAGTATCAAATAATCTCAACCCTTCGCACTTGCTTGCATAGAATCGAATTCATAGAATTATGTCTTATCAACTCTAGTATTTGTGATGATGAGAATTTGACTTGAAAAGTGGGTTTTACGACCTGACCCCATAGGCAAGGTGGTCCTCTTGAGAACATGTGTATATGTTAAATTTGTGTTTAAATTTTAATATGGGCATGAATTTTAAAAATAATTATATTTTTCCAAAATAAATGCATGCTATTTGGAGCAGTTCAATTTATTCACGGTCCATAGAGCTTTCTAAGACATTAAGTTTGAACATCTAGAATATTTGTCAAAGGAAATGTGATTGGATATATTTCTTAAATGACATCAGGCATTAGCATGATGCATTGGCATGCTTTCAGTGCTTTTACACAATGCACTTATATACTTTTTGACGCATTATAAATGAGTTTGAAAGTTTTCTCGTGATACATGCCCATGATTTGAAAAATTACTGAAAATTTATTGTTACCTAGAATGTTTTGTCATTAGAATACATGCAATTTTGAAATTTTATAGATCGCTGATGTAGACAAGGGGGGGTCAACACTAGTCCAAAATAAATCAAATTTTGGCTTCCCTTGAGTCTAGTAGTTTAACATATTTGAGCTGAACTTTTAGTTCATTTATGAGCTGGACTTTAGTTTATTTATTGAACTAAGGGTTAGCTCATTATGAGCTAACATTTTAGTTCATTTTTTATCTTTTAATTATGTTCATTTTATGCTTTTTATGTTTGTATTTATGTTTGTCTCTTGAAATTCCAAACCGGCCTTTGGAATTCCAAGATTTTTTTCCCCATGAGGTGGCCCTTTGGCTTCCTCCTTGGCTTTTCGTATTTTGCATTTTGCCCCATGCAATTCCGGCCGGCCGCTGGCTGGTTTTCCCATGCCTGGGCTCTTTCCCGAGGCCATGGCCCCTTGGCTCCCGCTCGGCCTCCTTGGCTCCCGCGGTGGCTGTTTCGGTTCCTGGTATGGGGCTGAATTCCGTGAGCAAGGGGGGGGGGGAGGATTTAGGTATTTTAATGCTTAGGTTATTGTGATAATTAATGTAATATGTCTTTTGGTCTTCCCCTTTCATACCTATATATATGGGGGGTATTGTAATGTTTGAAATAGTGAATGTGATATGTGATTTCTGGAAAAAAATCTGTTAACCTGCGGGTTGCTTGGAAATCCTGCGGGCTCTTTCCACCCTTTCTTCTCGGGCTTCTAACCTCTTTCGTCTCTCCGCAAGTGCCACTCCACCTATATCTTTTTTCTCCAAGGCAGCAACTTTAGGGTGTCGTCATTTTGTCTCGAGTTGAGTTTGTGTTTTTAATTTCTTTTTATTTCTTTAATTTGAAATGTAAGAGGTTTGTTCGTCTACTTCTCGTCCTTAGTCAATTTCGTCGGTAGAAGTCCGTCGTGTCTTTTGTGATCGAGGAATATAGGGTCCCCTATATTTTTTGCTCGCATCATTTTGGTATCAGAGCAAGTTAGGAAATCCTAGGTTGGTTTGTCGAGTTTTGTTTTCAAATCAGTATTTGTCAAAGTTGTGTCAAGTCAAGTCAGAGTTTGTGAGTTTAGTCAAGTCGTTAGTCTTGTCTTAAGTTTTTAGATTGAGTCTTGTAATTTTTTTTTATTGAGTCAAAAAAATGGAAAATACCAAAAATATGGCTACATTCCTGGAAGAATGCGATCAACATAATCCTGATGTCCCACTTTCATTGGACAGATGGTTACCTACAGAAGGAGATTCTACTGACCCACTTCAAGATCATCTCTACAAACTGTAATATCACATGTTCCTATGTGATCAAAAATTTGAGAAGTACAAAAGGTATCTGCAACAGCAATTTGAAAAAGAACAGGAAGAAATTCTGAAAAGGTTTGGTGAAAAACTTAAGGAGATCGATGAACAGTATGCACCGCCTCAAGAGAATCATCAACCAATTCATCAGGAGCTGAATTCGCAAGAAGGAGAGTCTGATGCAGACAAGGGGGGTCAACACTAGTACAAAATAAATCAAATTTTGACTTCCCTTGAGTCTAATAGTTTAACATATTTGAGCTGAACTTTTAGTTCATTTATGAGCTGGACTTTAGTTCATTTATTGAACTAAGGGTTAGCTCATTATGAGCTAACATTTTAGTTCATTTATTATCTTTTAATTAATGTCTTTTATGCTTTTTATGTTTGTATTTATGTTTGTCTCTTGGAATTCCAAACCGGCCTTTGGAATTCCAAGATTTTCTTTCCCCATGAGGTGGCCCTTTGGCTTCCTCCTTGGCTTTTCGTATTTTGCATTTTGCCCCATGGAATTCCGGCTGGCCGCTGATTTTCCCATGCCTGGGCTCTTTCCCGAGGCCATGGCCCCTTGGCTTCCGCTCGGCCTCCTTGGCTCCCGCGGTGGCTGTTTCGGTTCCTGGTATGGGGCTGAATTCCGTGAGCAAGGGGGGGAGGATTTAGGTGTTTTAATGCTTAGGTTATTGTGATAATTAATGTAATATGTCTTTTGGTCTCTCCCTTTCATACCTATATATATGGGGGTATTGTAATGTTTGAAATAATGAATGTGATATGTGATTTTTGGAAAAAAATCTATTAACCTGCGGGTTGCTTGGAAATCCTGCGGGCTCTTTCCACCCTTCTTTCTCATCCCCTCCGGAAATCCTGCGGGCTCTTTCCACCCTTTCTTCTCGGGCTTCTAACCTCTTTCGTCTCTCCGCAAGTGCCACTCCACCTGTATCTTTCTTCTCCAAGTGCAGCAACTTTAGGGTGTCGTCATTTTGTCTCGAGTCGAGTTTGTGTTTTTAATTTCTTTTTATTTCTTTAATTTGAAATGTAAGTTTGTTCGTCCTACTTCTCATCCTTAGTCAATTTCGTCGGTAGAAGTCTGTCGTGTCTTTTGTGATCGAGGAATATAAGGTCCCCTATATTTTTTGGTCGCACCAATCGCCTTACGTCCTCTTGAATGCAAAAATTGTAGATTTTATGGTTTTTGCAATCTAAGTTCTGATTTTATATTCAAAATAGTGCATTTTTTTGCTTGCTTGCATTTAGCTCACATAAGCATTCAGATAAACCCTCATAAGGGTGTTCAAATAAACCCTCATAAGAGTGCTCATTCCCCTTTCATTAGAGGTTCTAACTTCATCATTTTTATGTTCAATTATAACGCACAATTTTAAATGCTATAGAGGTTAATGTGCAAAACCCGAAAACGTCGATCTTAATCATTGCACGCATTTCGATGCACCACAATGAGATTTAAGTGAATTTTTAAAGTCGTCGGATATTGACGAAAATAACTTTATAAAATAGTGCATAAAATTTCGAGCAAATTGGTATAAGGGACTTACAATGAATTTCACATAGATTTTAAATTAAAATCATCGAAGTTATAATTGGGTTAACAAATTACTTAAATGTCCTTAAATATATTAAAGCGAAAATAAGTTATGTAAGGGCAATTAGGACATTATGCATTTACCCCTAACCGCCCACTCTTAAGGGGACCGAAATCCATTCGGTCCCTCATTTGTTTCGTTAGTCCGAACCGAAGGGAGAGGGAGGCGGAGAGAGGGGTGCCGGGAGCAAGGCCACGGTGGCTTCAGCGGTAGTTTTCGGTGGCAAATTTTGGGGGAAAATGTAGAGGAAGGCTAAGGCAGAGTTAAGGTATGTTCTTAAAGCAAGAAATCCACTTTTCCCCATAGATTTTTGGAAGAGAAATTTCTAGGATTTTGCTAAAAATTTTTTGGGAAACTTATAGGGAATGTTAGGGTTAGTATTTTAACCATAAAAATAAAGTTTTCCCCAAATTTTTGTGAGTTTGAAAAAATTAGGGTTTACACATTTTTGGATTTTAAGAAAATTTCCTTAATGATTATTGTTCCA